GACTAGGGAGGATAGAAGGAGAATTGACGCCTTTGAGCTGTGGTGCTGGAGAAGAGTATTGAATGTACCATGGACTGCCAAGAAAACAAACAGATTCATCACAGAGAGGATTAAACCAGGCTGCTCCTTGGAGGCAAGGATTCTGGGGCTTCGTCTGACATACTTTGGACGTGTTGTAAGGAGAAACAGGTCTTTAGAGAGGGACATCATGCTAGGTAGAGTGGAGGGACAGCGCAGGAGGGGAAGACCCTCTATGAGGTGGATTGATTCAGTGACTGGGGTAATCGGGTTGGGTGTGTCAGAGGCAATGAGAGTGGCACAGGATGGAGCACGGTTTAGGGCTGTTGTACATGGGGTCGCTATGAGTCGCAAACGACTCGACGGCATATAACAACAACAACAACAATATTGGGTAAAACCTACAAAATGTTTGCATATTCTTTACCATGAAAATATTTTTAATAACATAAACTATCCGTAATTCATAATATATATATAAAACTATGCCTATAAAGGTAAAATAAATTTGATACAAAATTTATTACAAAATTTGATACAAAAAAAATAGATACAAATGGAATAAAAGCAGGCAAAGAGTGCAGATGTGCTTGTACAATTTGTGTAAATATCTTGTGGTACAGCTTTACCTCCCCAGTTGATGGAATTTGCAGACCAACCATGTAGTTCTGCTGGGGCCCAGCTAAAACAAAGGACTCAGGCACAGAGTAGGCTGCCTCCAGCGTGACTCTCAGTAGATTGCTCCCCAAGATCTGGGCTGAGGTCAGTAATGGCTCTGACACAAATACTTTCACTTCAAGACTGCATTGCTGGGAAAGAAGAAAAGGATGCAACATTTCAAAAATGACAAAGGCACCCCCTCTGACATTATCTCCAATTAATTCTTAACACTGTTCTAGGGAAGAAAATCAAAGTGAGTTCTTTCCATGCTGAGCACTGAAATAATTTTCTCTAGGTCCCAGGAGTTAGACACACAGCCCAGAATAACTTTCTCTCTAAGACAGACTTGTCATGCTACGATACTGAGGCTAAATGTATACATACACAGACAATCAGAAGAAAAAACCCAGAAGGTTGTGTATTTTAAAAAAAAGTAAGAAGCCCTGGTGGCATTATCATTAATCAGTTGACTGCTAATGGAAATGCCATTAGTGTGAGCCCATCAGCGCTTTGATGGCAGTCAGCTCTAGAGACTTGTGGTTGTTAAGTGCCATTGAGTAGTAGACAACTGATAGTGACCCTATGAATGAAAGACCTGAACACCTGTATAACTTTTATCGTTTCTCCAAGTTCACAGAGTTTCTGGAGGCAAGCTATTTCGGAAGTGGATGCCACTCTTGCTTCCAAGCCTATTTTAATATGGGAGCTCCACCAAACACTGTCCACCATGGGTAACCATTATCACATTTGACACATCAATGTCAGTGTTTAGCATAATAGCAATCACGAGTTACCTCTGTATAGCAAATGGACAGACCAGTGCTATACTACTTAGAAGAATGTTTGACCAAAAACAATTAAAACCAGGCCTGAGGGCCACAGATTAAAATCACCCACCTTTGGTATGGTAGCATAACTTTCTATCCACTAGGCCAATAGAGCTTTCTCTAGACTCACAGAAATTCTATGAACAGATCTAACCCTTGCCCCATCCTACGCCATCCTCACAATCCAAGACATGCTTGAGCTCATTCTTACAGTCACCATCTCAATCCATCATGTTGAGGATCTTCTGTTCTTCTCTGACCTTCCACTTCTTTCGGTATGATGTCATTTGTCATTTCCCAAGGACTAGAACCTTAACTGCTGTTAAGTGCCATTGAGTCATACATGGCTCATAGCAACCCTATGAATAAAGGACCTGAACACTGAAAATCTTATTGAGCAGTTCGACTCTTCCTCATAGGAATGCTAGGTCAGGATTACGCATCAATGACAAGTTTGGTTCGGTTTATACTAAAATGTTAATAGTCCATACAGAAAAATAAGTATAGTAAATTTAAAGACACCCAACAACAATTTCAACCAATGATCTAGAGCACTTCATGGATTCATTGGCCAACTGAAAGTCTTTGGTGAAATGTCTTTTTAACACAAAGACTGTATCTCTTCCACCTTTTGATGAGTCAGTCAATATTTTACTCATAAAACTTTTCAGTATTGCAACTTCAAAGCTTGATTTTTTTTAGTTCTCTTACCTTGAGAAATGCTGAGCAAATATTTCCAGTTTGGTTCTCTAACTACAGGCCTTTGCACATGTCATTATAATACTTTGCTCTGTCTTCTTGGAACTCTTCAGTTTATTTATGTCCTTATTTCTTCCATTTGATAGCAAGTTTGGAGTCAGTTCTGGTATCCACCTTGGCCTTTTCTTTTTTCCTAGCTTTTTAACGGCCTTTTATTTTCTTGATATAAGATATTCCTGAAGTCATTCCACAACTTGCCTGGTCATTGTGTTCAATGCATCAAGTTTGTTCTTGAGATAATCTCTAAAATCAGGATACTTCAGCTTTCGTGGACCTTTAATTTTGAAATTCAACTTCAACTTTCATATGGGCAAATGACAGTCTGTTCCACAGGTACCCCTGGCCTTGGCTTCTCCATCATCTCTTCCCACAGATGTAGTCTACCTGATGCCAATGTATTTCATCCAGTGAAGTCCATATGTTAAGCTGCTATTTATGTTGAGAAAAGGTACTTGTTGCATCTACTGGTGTCTACTCATTCAAAATTAAAAAGAGTGAAGAAAATTAAAGATGTACGAAAACAATGGACCAATGGCTGACAATGACCTATCTTCTGTGATCCTGAGAGCTGAGGATCCAGAGAGTGTATGTCAGCACTACTGTATTACTTTTACTATTACCACTCTAAAAGGGATCACAATAGGAAGTCCTGGGGCTAGTAAGGGGAAAATGTAGAGCAAAAGTAAAAATTACATTTAATAGGGACTGGTAAAGCTCTCTCAAATATGACTCTTAGGTAATTTGCACACCTGGACAAACCCTTTCCTTTGGCATTCCCACCAACAGCACTCTGTCTGAGTTGCAAAAAGCTTGAACCAGCCTGTGGCTGGGGGCTGATATGTGGCTCTCACACTATATATATATATATATCTCACACTATATATATATATATATCTCACACTATATATATATATATATCTCACACTATATATATATATATCTCAGCACCTGAAGAAGCTACTTATCTCCAAGAGAAATGAGAAACCAAGCTCAGAAAGCAAACCAGTGGTACAACCTTCCAGTCCTCTGAAAACCTTTTCCTTCCCCAGTAACCAGTTGTTTCCAGTACCCACTAAGCCAGGTGTTTTCACAAATTATTCCATTTAATCAGTCAAGACACAGCTCTAGAAGACAACATAACCATGGAAGGTTACTCACTCACTCATTGCCCTTACATCAGAATCAACTAGTAGCTGACCCTCTGGCAGATTTTCCAAGGCTGTAAACTGCACTGGAGGAGACTGCCCACCTCTCTCCACAGAGCAGCTGGTGGATCTGAACATTCTACCTTTAGGTTGGCAGTGCAATGCCTTACCCACTAGGTCATCAGAGTTCTAATGGAAGATTATGTCTTTCCTATCTACACCTGGTCAAAGAAAGCATTTATGTGCTCTGTGTCCTTGTGATGATCATCCTTTGCCAATTAATCAGACTGTGTCACTATCAGTCATATTGAATTGTGGGCTCCTCACAGGTAGGCTGCTGCCTTATCTATCCCTGCTGTTCTGAGCCTATCACTAGGCAAGTAAGCTAGTGACAAAGGAGGTGCTTAATGTATGGAACTGAGCCTTAATATAGATTAGCTTGTTAACACTAAATGGCAAGTTGAAACGTTGAGTATTACAACTCCAGTTACCTTACCACCTGGACGAACAATTTCTAGGGGTGAGCCTGGCACAGGATGCAGTGGGATCATTGCTTCAAATGAACTCTCTCCTGTAAAAACAAGACTAAGTTTAGACTCAAAGAAAGAAGAATTAAATTAGCACAACCGCAAGAAAAGACAAATGTGGTCACCTTCTCTTATAAAAAACAACAGTCACTGCTCAGTTGATTCCAACTCCTATCAACACTATGTTGTTGTTCACCATAGAGTCACAATCCACCAATAGCTGACAGGAGGAGATTGTCCATCCTTCTCCCACAAAGGAGCTAGTGGCCGTAAACTGCATGCCTTTGGGACTTCAGTGCAGCTTCTTGCCACTAGGCTGCCAGAGCTCCTTAGGAACTCTATAGGGTAGAACAGAATTGTCCCATTGGATTCTCAGGCTGTAAATCCTCACAGAAGCAGACTTCCACATCTTCTGCCTCTGGGGTAGGTGACAGGTTTGAAAGGCTAACTTCTCAGTTAACATTGAAGCTCTTAACCACTGTATCACTAGGGCTTCCAGTTTCTCCTATCTCTCCTACTCACAGCACCTCCCTCTCAGGCCCACCCCTCCATCTCTCTGGGGCTAACTGTGTATGGTTGTGATAGCCTTTGTTTCTACTTTTGGGTAAATGACATATTTAAATCTGACCTTCCAGTAAAGGAAGCAGATCCACCACAGCTTGACCAAGAACTAAGATCTTCTCATCTTTCTGCTTCTTTTCCTTTGGTAAAACTTCAGTCATCGTTACTAGGAAAAAAAGAAAGAAAATGAGAACATTTCTAGTTCACCATCAGGTAATCAAGATGCAGCAAGCAAGTAAAGTATCATCAAAGAAATATAACTAAATATAAATGAAGTTAAAAGTAAAGGAGGCACCAAGAATATCAGTGAACTTCCAGTAGAAAGAGTGGACTGCTTCAGGGACTTTCAAAGTTTTTGAAAAATTATAAAAAGAGATGTATTTTATGTATGATCATGTATAAACTATGATGCATATACTTAAAGACACTTGCTAAGATATTTCATATAGTATTCATCCTTATGAGTTCAAACCCATTAAGTATTTTATATTCTATCTTCTTCTTATTGTTGCTATTTGCCATTGAGTTGCATAGTGACCCTATCTACAGTAGCTCTGAACCCTGCTCTATCCTGAGCCAGCATTATTGTCTCTGACACACCTACCCTAATTGCCCATCACTGAATCAATCCATCTCATTGAGGGTCTTCCTCTCTTGAGCTGTCCCTCCATTTTTCCAAGCATAATGTCCCTCTCCAAGCACTGGTCCCTCCTTGCAAAATGCCCAAAGCATGTCAGATGAAGCTTCAGAATCCTTGCCTCCAAGGAGCAGCCTGGTTGCACCCTCACTCTAGGATAAACCTGTTTGTTCCCCTAGCAGTCCATGGTATATTCAATACTTTTCTCCAGCACCATGGCTCAAAGGCATCAATTTTCCTTCTATCATCCCTAGTCATTGTCTAGCTTTTTGATGCATAGCATGCAATTGTTAACAATCTCAATCTCTTCACTGTTTATCATGATGCTGCCATTCGGACCAGTAGTGAGTATCTGTTTTCTTGATGGTGAGCTTCAATTTATATTGATGGCTGCAGTTCTTTTTTTTTTTTTTAAATTTAGGTTGTTTATTTT